TTTTTTTTTTTTTTTTTTTTAAATTTTAATCTTCTTGGGGTCTTCTTTTCCTTGTGTTACGATTGTTCCATTTTTAAAAATTTGATACTAGTGTAGCAGTGATTGTTGTGTTATAGGTTGTTTTATGCTGGTACCTTTACATTATTACCTTAAGTAGATCATATGCCGTGTTGAGCTGTTGGAATTTGCTCAATTAAGCATGTTGTTCGTGCTTGTCAAGAAGATACCTTGTTTATAGATTCGAGTCACCAAGGGAGCAAGTTACCATATCCCCAAAAAAAGGATGTCTTGTTTATTAATGTTTGCTGTTGGATGGCTGATACAATGTCAATAACTGCTCTCGCTTTGCTGTCTTTGGTTCTTCTCTTTAGCATTTCATCTTACCATGTAGTGTTGTGTTAGGTTATCTTCATTGGAGGTCGTACACAACCTGGAACAATTAAACCCGATGAAGGGGATCGCCATCCTTACTCTGTAATTGAGTGTGAACCTACACATGAAGTCATTTTGCCATCTGTCATCTATGTACAGAAGATATTGAGGAGAAGACCGTTTCTTATAAAGAACCTTGAAAATGTCATGCGAAAAATGTTGCAGTCACTGGAGCTCTTCGAGGAAAATGAAAGGAAGAAGCTCGCAATATTTACAGCCCTTGCCTTTTCCCAGAAGCTATCAGGCCTTCCTCCGGAGACTGTTCTCCAGCCATTGCTCAAAGACAACCTTGTTGCCAAAGGGATAGTTCTAGCTTTTATCACAGACTTTTTCAAGGAATATCTGATTGACAACAGTCTTGATGATTTGATCTCAATCCTTAAGAGGGGTAAGATGGAGGACGATCTTCTTGAGTTCTTCCCCTCTGCAAAGAGGACACCTGAAGCTGTCTCTGAGCATTTCACGTGAGTAATTTTTTTAATTTAAAAATTATCCTGGGTTGTAGTAGTTTTTATACTTCATTTAAGACTCAGGAAGAAAATATTTAAGCAAAGTTATCAATCCTTCATCATTCCTTGCTCTCAATTTTCTTTTGCTGCGGTGAACAGATGGGGAATTTTTTGGCTGCTTTAAGCTGTAAACATTATGCCTCAGAATTTTCTTGGTGTGATGAAAAACGAAAAAACAAAATAAAGATATTTGATTAAGAGTCAAAAGTGCTTTGTATCTGAAATAAGAAGTTAAGTGGAACCGAAATATCAGACAACACAATCTAATGTTCCTAAGGTTTTACCTGCAATATCTTTTGTTCTGGATCCCTTTTTTCTTCAGTTCCTTGGTCACTAGGTTTTTCTTTCTTTTCTTATTGGTTAAAAGGTCTTGTTATGGCTCAAATGGTTCTCTTATGAAGGTCATTCATATAAACAAGAAGGGCTGCTTCCTAGGTAGTAGTTACTAGGTAATAAGGTATCCCAGAAAGTATCACCTTCTTTTTGCAATCAAAGTAGCTAAAAGTGGAAGATATGGACTGCCGTTTAGTATATTATAACTTGCCTTCATAAAACATATTGTATTTATTGTGTGTTTTTGAAGCTGTCAAGAGTGCTAAATGTGGAATTTGCAAGAGTCCTATTCCGATAAATGCTATCCTTCATTTGTGTGTAAAGAGTTGTGTCATTTTGAGACTTCTCTTTGGGGCTTCATTATTGAAGATTTTCATGATAACAAATTGGAGAAATTGCTTTGGGTTGGGTAATTTATTTTTTTTGTACTTTTTTTTCCTTGTGAAATAGGGAACTAGGTAAGACAGAAGGCAGACTTATAATTGAGATTTTATTGTTCAAAGTTTCAAGTTTTACTGCAAGCTATTTTTTTTTGCCGTGTCAGGAACAAGGGTTCGTATTTGGCATACCTTTTGGTCCTTCTTAGATCATTCTCCTGTTAAACATGGAACTTGGCTGGATTTTCCAGGCGCTATGTCAGCCTACTGTTATATTAACTATACATGGCAAACTAAGAAATCAATAAAACTGAAAAAATGATGCCAGGCTAAAGTCCTTTCAAGACTCTTTACTGTGTGGAAACTGAACTAGTTATTGTGCAATCTTTCTCTCTTTCCCTTCTTATTGTTGGTTGGGGAGCAGGGTAAGGGTTAAAAGAAAGAAAAATTGGGTCAGTTTATTCAAGCCTTCTGTCTTTAGCTATGCCTAATGGTGTATGGACTTTCTTATTTCAGCAATGCTGGCCTTTTGCCTTTGGTTGAATATAATGATAAGAAAATATTTGAGGTGAAGCTCAAGGAAATGAAGTCTGCATTAACAACTCAGCTAGCAGAAGAAGCTGCTATCTCTGAAGTCATAGAGACTGTGAAGCAACATGTCAAAGATGCCAAATTGCCAGATATAGAAGTTGTGCGAATTTTGTGGGATGTATTGATGGATGCTATTCAATGGTCAGGAAAGAATCAACAGCAGAACACTAATTCAGCTCTTCGCCAGGTAATTAACATTTTAGTCATTGACAAGTTTCTTGATGTAGTTTTATTTTTGAGACTGCAAGTGAGTATCTGTTTCAAAATTGAAAAAGCACTTGTGAGTGGAACCCACTAATGCTGTAACTAAGGGTGGCATGTGGGCCGGTTAGGACCGGGCCCGGCCCAGGACCGCAAGCCCAAATGGGCAGTGGGCCTAAACGGTTCTAACCGGATAGGACCGGGACCGTGGGGAGGTGGGCCGGTCCCATAGGCGAGGCTCGCGAGACCGGGACCGGCTGGGAAGTGGGCCGGTTCAAGCGGTCCTAAACGGGCCTATCCGGGCCCAATGACTAATTTTTTTTTTTAAAAAATCTGCCATATTATAGTCTTTATGGCATTTAAAATATGGCCGTTTTACCTGTCAAAATAGCCGTTGGCTATTTATAAATAGGCATTTAACCCCCCAACTTGTTTTAACCCCAATTTTTTTATAATTACACTTTTTCTTATATATATAGCTTATATATATATACACATACTATACTATACTATATGTACATCTTTTATATATATATATATATATATATATACTAAGTGTATATCATATATCTTAAGATGTATATATAATATATCTTAAAATGTGTACTATCGAATATGGCTTATATACTATGTATATANACAATTCTATAATATAATTTACAAGGAATTGCCTTAGATATTTTTATTACCATTTTTTTTCTCTTAACTTCTATAAAAAAAAATTTAAAGATAGAAAGCATCCGTTGGGCCCACTTAGGCCCGGGACCGTTAGTTCGTGGTCCCGGTCCCGGACTGGTTCCAACAAGAAACCAGCGAAGCCCAGAACCGCTTAGGACCGGTCCACTTAGGACCGGGCCTGCGAAACCCACTTAGGACTGGGCCCGGCCCACATGCCACCCTTAGCTGTAACAGATAAAATTTTCTATTGTAGTTCCAGCAATGAGGGAAAACTCTTAGCTATTTTTTATCTAGCGACACACATGGCACATAATTCACTGCATTGTTCAAAATGTGTGCATAGCTTTCAGATATACCAAATGCCTGCTTGAAAATGTAGCAAAGTTATCCAATTTCTTCTGGATTATCCTGTTTTAGTTTCAAATTTATGCTGTATAGTGAAGTGAGTTGATCACAATTCACGTGTTAGTGGATTTCAAATCAATGAGACAACTTTTGCTTCAAGAACACTTACCAAAATAAAACATTTGTTTTAATTATGGGTTATTCCCATGCCCTTTCTTCTATATTTTTATGTCATATTGATTCTGAGGATAAAAAGAGAAATATGACAACAGCTCGATAATTGTTTGGTTATTACTCCCTCCTTTCAATTTACGCGTCTTACTTTGCTTTTGTCTCCAAAAGTCTTTTATATTCTTAAACTCCGTGCCCAGTCAAACTAAGACACATAAAAAGTGAAATGGAGGGAGTAATTTTTGTATATCGGAAGGATTCACTGGAAGTGTCAGTGGGCAAACCTGATAGGCAACTTTAAAATCAGCTTAAGCTGATTCTGCATGCTGTACCTGCTTAAATCATTTATATTTTATGTATGGAAGTGCATTTATGCATCAGCGTGAGCGGAACTGATCATGAAGTCTAGTGATGACTTCATGATGGGGTTTTCCTATCATTTTTAGCAATTTAATCTTGCTGTCAACTTCGCAAGACTGGAACTGTTGATCATGAACTGTTGCTGCTGAATGGCATAGCTGTACATGATGACTTGTAGCAACTTTGTCTCATGTTAGCTAGTTTTGTGCACATGTTCAATTGCTTGACTAAGTGAATTTAGTCGTTTGCCCAAGTAGAGAATGTTTGTTCTTATGGTCACCGATGACTAGCGTAAGTTTATATCAATTCCTGTTTTCTAGGATGTTGTCTCTTTTGTAGTAAAATGCAAGTGTAGTAGTTTAAAATTGCGCAAATAGCATGTTTAGTCCCTCATATGTGTCTTAGAAAGCAACTTCATCCTTCATAGTAGTATTTAGTTTTGTGCAGAGTTAGTCTTATGTATATGGAACAGTACTTACATTGTTGTTTTTAATGTTTGCTCAAATTTAGTCCTCCGTTTATATTTTGTGCTATTCAGCACTTTCGTGCTAAAATCATATGATTTGACTCCTCTTTAATAAAAAACAAAAAAGAGATTCCAACATCAAAGATGATATATTTTACTGGAATATTTTATGTATTTATTTGCAAATTAAGTTGCAATCTATCCTAAATTAACTTAACGGACTACAAATGTAATTTGCTTTTTATAGTGAATGTGAAAACTAATTATTTTAATCAAAATTATTTGTAATACTGAAATCAAAAAGTAGAAATGCAGGGTAAGACTGTGTACAATAGACCCTTGTGGTCCGGTCTTTCCCCGGACCTGTGTATAACGGGAGCTTAGTGCACCAGGTTGCACTCTTTTGTTGCAATCAAAAGTAAAAGAACAACAGTAAGACCCCCCCCCCCCCCAACACACACACACACACACAAAAAGTTGATGATTGAGCATCAATGATTTGAGTTGTTTTTTTAACGTACTTGTGGTATTAAATTGAAACAAAACAAAATATGAATGATTAAGTTGCTTTTGTAAGATTTTCACGAGGGATTAGAATATGCTATATAATTTTGACATCGACAAAGACACAACATCCCTCATGAGGGTATTTAACAATGTCAAGACAATGATAGGGGAATTGAATCCCTCAAGTAGCTTGTACAAAGAACTGAAGATTTGCCTCTATCTCAAATTGGAACATAACTAGTTGATTTGTGTAATGTTATGTCTCTTTCAGTCTTATAATTAACGGTGACCGTCATATTCGAATGTTTCTGTAGCTTCTTCGTTTAACTGCTCAGATTGCACTCAGTATCCAAAAAATTTCACTTCTATATGATCTGATTCTTTGTCCCTTTTTTTTTCCTTCCCTTTTTGTCTAGGTGAAAAAATGGGCAGAACTGTTGAATACTTTCTGCACCTCTGGAAAGCTTGAATTGGAACTAATGTACAAAGTCCAAGTCCAGTGCTACGAGGATGCTAAACTGATGAAGTTGTTCCCTGAAATTGTAAGGTCTCTCTATGACCAAGATGTGCTGGCAGAAGATACCATTCTTCATTGGTTCCGTAAAGGAACAAACCTTAAGGGCAGGTAGGTGTTTGTTTTGTCTTGGTCTTTAGTACTTTGTTTGGCTAAAATAAAGATGTTAATGAGCTATTCCCCGAAGAGGGAGACTAGCTCGAATGAGTTATGTTCCAATTATTTATTGTGTTAATCTTGTCTGCGTTTTAATGGGGTTAGTGTCTTAAAATTTGTTGCAGGCAAAACTTTGTCAAGTCGCTGGAGCCCTTTGTGAAATGGCTGGAGGAGGCGGAGGAAGAGGAATGAATTTCTTGTCATACTGCATCTCCGGTGCAGCTTGACCGTATCTGAAACGTCTTTTTCCTGATGAGTAATTATATTCCCCTTGAGGACTGAATGAATAAGACTTCTGAATATTCACACCAATTGACAGTTTGTTATGCTGCTGATGTTATGAATTTCATCTGTATGAGTTTGCTTCCTTGGATCTTTATATTCATATATTCGTATGCATCTGTCTTGTTTTCTGGATTAATAATTTTACTAGGTTGTGTGAGATAACCACTTCTTCAAGGCCTTTCAAAAGATAATCGCTTTCTCATCAATCAAGCTGCGTTAGTAAGAAAATGATACTAGGAAGATTGGAGGAAATTGATCAGATGTGCTTATTTGTTTGTTGACACACATCTCACCTCATTTAACTCAACAGATGGTTCAAATTTTTTCCGTATTATCTGATTTGTGCCTCATTGATTCTTTGGTAGTTCTGTGAACTATTTGCCGAGTATTTGTGGTCATCTTGTACTCCACCTCTTCACGGTAAAGAGTTTTTGGTAGTTATTTTTATGTGGAGTCGGGCGTCAAAAATTTGAAAAGAAAGGAATAGATTGACTTTACTGGTTATAAAGAAAAAAATCCGAAGCATCTCAGGACGTGCATTTACTTTTGTGATCAGTTCCACTGGGCGGCCTATGGCTGTACATAGGCCGGGTTGGTTTGGATTTTTCAATTATCAAACCAAACCAATTGTCTCGGATTTTTAAATCTATAAACCAAACCAAATCAATAGAATGATTTTTCAATCTAGATTTTGTTTTTTGTTTTCTCGGATTTTTCGGGTTTTTTCTGACAAAATCTTCATAGCATAAAATTTATAATTTGTGCTCTAATATTTCTTAGGTGATTGTAGGATAAAACCACATAAGATGTTATTCAATAAAATAATACAAAATAATGTGAAATGAGTCATAATTATACTAAAATACTCAACAAATTGCATGAAATAATATTGCTAATTAATAAGCCATAATAAAAATAAACATAATCAAAAAGTACTAAATCATGTTAAAATAAGTATGATCAATAAGAACTGAGTATTAATTACATGACTAAATAATAGTAAAAGTAAGTTATGTATTTTCACTATCTAAAGTAATGAAAAACTAAGAAATAAATATCCAATACTATTGTCATTCGTAATGTTGAATTGAAATTTTTTGTTAGCATTTTCATTGATTTGATTTTGCTTTGGACTTTATTTGAATCACTAACTTTTATGGGCTATAAAACATATTTGACTATTCAAAAGTTCTAAGTCCAAGCTTGAAATAATACATTAAAAGAGAGAACTATGAAAAAGTTTAAAAAATATTTATAAATTATATTACAATAATTATTTTTATGTATAAAATATTTTTAAAACTTGTATATATGTAATGTCGGGTTGGTTTGGTTTCGGTTTGATTTTTTTAGTTAAAACCAAACCAAACCAATTATGTTCGGTATTTTTTTTTCCTAGCACCAAGCCATAAGCGAGTTTTTTTTTCTCGGTTTGACTTGAATTAACGGTTTAGTGCGGTTTGTCGGTTTTCTTTGTACACCCATAAGTTCCACCATACGTCCTTGCCCGTCGTTTTATTTACTAATGGCTTTCGCTAGTAGCTTGTTTGGATGGTTGTGAATTGTGATGTATCATTTCATGTATTGTATTGTATTGAGTACTGTATTATTTAGATGTATATAATGTTTGGATAGATTGTATTGTTACCGTCGTTTCATGATGCCATGTACCAACAATATGAATAACAAACTTGTAATATTATATATATAAAAAAAAAGTTAAGGTACAAGGTAAAATTATTACTCGTCCAATTACTTCGCTTTCTCCTTGCTTCTGATTGGTACTGTGTAGTATAAAGTAGGAAAAATTACGCGACACATGAAATATTTACACTGTATTTATAAGTGATACAAATTAATAACAATTGAACAATAGTTACGAATGATAATTAGATAAATTATAGCTATTATGCTCTAAACTATAGTGGTTTATGAAAATTCCTTCATATTAAATAGAATTAGGTGCAATAATATCTTAAGTGACCTAGCAGTATTTTTATCTCATATGTGTATAGAACTTAAACTTCATATTTATTAGTTTGACGATATTGGGATAAGAATAAAATGAAAAAATACTTGCATAAAACGCAAAAAAAGGGAAGATGGAGAGAATTTAATATCCAACTTGCATACCTAATAAGTCGAAAATTTGAAGTGTTTGAGATGCGAATAAGAGTTAAGTCAGAGTAGACTGCATGCCTCCTAGAAATTGAAAAGATATACTCCATCCGTTTCAATTTATGTGAACCTATTTTCTTTTTAGTTCGTGCCAAATAGAATGACCTCTTTCCTTATTTGGAAACAATTTACCTTTATACAATTATTTATAGCCACACAAAATATATGTGTCTCATTTTACACCACAAGTTTAAAAGTTTTATCTCTTTTTTTAAATTCTGTACCCAGTCAAATGGGTTAACGTAAATTGAAAATGAGGGAGTATATGAATATGATATCAGTTGATAGTAGTGGGTGCAAGAAACATGATAAGATACATATCAGTTAATAATAGTGATTTTTTTGTTATTTTTATTTTGTAAAGGTAGAGTTTGGGTCAGGTGCAATTCTTGATTAATGCACCAAGTACTTACTATCGCTAGTAGAGATACCGAACAACTTTTAACAGCATTGGAATTCATTTATCCTATCATATATTATAATTAAGCACCTTATAATCTCATAAATAATTTCACGTTTCTCCTGTATCTTAACCATACCATATCTTATGCAATCACATAACTTTACAAGCTAGCAAGGACATTAGCCAACGAGGAGGTGTCTTACTTTTTTGCTACATATATTTTTCTTCAACAATATATATATATATATATATATATATATATATATATAAGTTGAATTCAGAGGATAATTATAAGTAACCGCCCATAAAGAGTGAACTAAGCACCTGAAGAATAGGGCATGAGCGGTGTTTGACTGCGCATGCAGTTTGAGGTAAAAAAAAAAGACAATTGCTACATACCAAAATTATCGTGGGAACTTATGGTCTTAAATATATTATGATGTTTTTAGGTGGTAAGAGCAACTCATAAAAGATGAAATAGAAAGTTTAAAATTAAAAAGTTTCAACATATATAAAAGTTCCATAATCTTTTGAACATACTAAAAGAAAAGTGTGCCATATAAGATGGAGAAGAAATTATACTAATGAAAAAACTAGGATAGAAACCCTAACCAATAATACTTGGATTACTCAATATGTGACATTTAATTTTTCATACCTGACATTGAATCCTGATCAAAGTCCATTCATCTTGTTTGGAGTTAACACAACTAACGACATTTAGCCCTTCTAGGAGTAGCCATCTTAGCACTTTGGACAAAGGAAACATTTCCTCTTTATGACTATTGACATTAATCAAAATCTCCATACCATCTTGACATATGTTTACTGTCACAAAATTGTTGTGCACATAACTTGCTGAAGAACTTCCATTTTTAGCACCCAAATTATCCAATGAATTCTTGATTTGTTTTCTTCTATTGTCTAACTCTTCTATATTCTTCTGAAGATGCCTTATATAATTCACAGCTATTTGCATGTGATCTGATGCTGAACGTTTACCCTAAATTTGCAATCAAAATTCACTCCATATTATTATCTAGCTTTAATTAAAAGGTAATACAATATTATGCATATACAGTTACAGAATACATTGTAGCTAAATATGAATTTTTCTGCAGCTAAATACTTTAACCACACTAACAATTTTTTGGTAAGTAGGTAGGGATGGCGTAGATAAAAAATAGTTACAATCAAAACTTAACTTGTTCTATGGCTAAGTAAATAGCCATGGAATTTTAATTTTTTTGGCTATTGTCAGGTATACTAAACCACATTCATTATATCCATAGACTGTATATGCATCATAATAATATTGTAGTGAGGTAAATCTTCTTGATCTATCTACTCAAGAAAACCTTCTAAAACAACAAAAAGAAAGATAGAGAAAGGCTATCTGCATGAAAAGAGGAAGGAAATAGAGCGATAACTTTAACACAATATTTGGTTGATAATGAAAAAAAATAGTATTTGAAGTTGAAGTTGAAAAATTGTATTTGAGAGCTGATTTTGTACATAAATTTCGCTTGAAATACTCCTCAAACAAGTATTTCTGAGCAAATACTAATAAAACTCCTTTTTCACTTCAATATTTCACAAGTATTTCACATAACGAGGTTCTAACATATACAAATATTGAAGTTCAATATTTACAAATACTAATGGACAAATGAGACTATATTTCTACTTATACTGAAATATGAAGAGAGTAAAATGAAGGAATCATCACCTTGATAAACTCAAGGGGAAAAAGGGATCTAAGAGAAGTAAGAAGATTTGCCATTTCTTGCCTTCTATGCCTTTCAACATTTCTGTGCACAACTTTCTTGGAATCATCATTACTACTTATAGTAATTTCTTGCCTTCTATTGACAGAAGACGGAGTTGTTGGGACTGAGGCGTAATTATTATTGTTGTTGAATGAAGAAATTTCGCGAGGACCACCTATAAGATCTTGATTAGGGATTTGGTCTTGTTGGCAAAATCCATTTAATTGGAAATTAGGAATGTGAAGTAGCTGGTGATGATGATGATCATGATCTTGTTCAATATTTTGTTTACAACTAAAGATCTCCCAAAGATAATTATCCATTGAACTAAACCTATGGCTTTTCCTCTTTTGGGTATTCTAATGGAAGATGTTAAAGAACAAGATACGTTAGTTAGGGTTCTGAGATCTCCACAATATCTTCATAATAAAGGAGATGACACACTGACCTACGCTAACCACACTAATTGTTTATTCAAATTTTCTAATGGTTACTATTCTTATCTTCGCTCCTAAAGTTCTAGTCCCACCATTTGCTTTCACACTAGCCTTTTAGTTTAGTGCTTCATTTTTAATAGTTATTATATATATAGAATGATCGTGTAAAAGGATTTTATACTAGCTTCTCTATAACAAAATTAATGTATAACAACCCCTCATTATAAAAGCTAAGTGTATCTCGAAACCGATCTTTTATATTATGTTATAATATATGTCATCTATAACAGCACTTCATTATAACATCCAAAAAATATCAAAACATATACGGTTATTATAGAGGTTTGATTGTATCAAGCAAGGACGGAGCTAGAGGGGTGGAGGGGAGTCTCAACCCCCTTAGTCAAAAAATTACAATACATATCTCATTGCTATCACATTATTTAGCGCATTACAAGTTATGCTGGATTAGTAACCTAAAAAATAAGACAGGTTGCCTGCTAGCTGATTAAAATATATTGGTAGTGCACATATGAATAAATTCCATTTTCAATTATTTGTTGAGAGATTGTCTTATTTTATTTGTTTATGTATTTTGGCTAGTCATTTCCACCTACATCGGAAAAAACCTCCTCGTGGTCAAAGTCGCATCGTGTTGGTTTAATTTTTTATGAAAAATAAAAGAAGAATTAACCCAAATAGCCATCCAATTAATTGCTTTAAAAAAAAATAGCCGGTGAAGGTATAATATATGCATAATTTATGTATTATATGTGTATAATTGTGTATAATCAATGTATAAATCATGTATATGGCTAGAAAAAGTAAATAATGAATATGGACGGCTATTTGTGTAAAATCCCAAAATAAAAAGCTAATCGCAATTCGTGGTTTTTTAAGTCAACAAGATTAAATAGACATTATTTGATTGTTTCTTTTCATTTTTGGAGACTTTTCATTATTTTTTTTTGCTCAAGCAGAAATAATATAGTAAAAAAAATAGTTATTATAAGTACTGTTGTATGTCGGGTTTCATATGGCATTTAATATGAAAATTTAGCTCTTTCAATAACATATCCGTTCAAAAAATAAAAAACAACAAGATCAAATATTTTCTAGAAGATAACATTGCATGTGTACTATTTCTTATTATGTCACGCATACCTGGGACATGAGTTTGGTCATAATAGGATGAGATCAAATACCTGAGTTTGACAACCTTTTTCAGACATTTTGTTCCAAGTTAGAGACAGAGGTAGAGCCAGGATTTCAAGCTTATGGGTTCGAGATTCTAATCGTTTTAAGTTACTGAGTTTTAAATTAATAATTTATATATTGAATAAATTTTTAAAGACAAATACATGGTACCGCTCCGCACCTGGTTAGAGAGTCATTTCATAATATGGTGGGTCTGCAAATTATCTCATATCTGGCCTATTGCATTACAATCTTGCTGTCCAATTCTTTTTAGTCAGTGATATAAGCTTATGTCCTAACGTGTTCCCCAACTTCCGGATTGTGAAAATTTGGGTAATTTCTTTTTTAAATAATAGTGGACTAGTGGTTTCTGGATCAGCTTTTACCACTACTTAAAAAATAAGAATTAGTGATAATTTATCAAAAAATTATGTTAGTTACGAGCAATTTAGCGATAAATTAGCGATGAAATTCGTAGCTAATTTTTTTTTGGAATGTATGTACTTTGTTACTTTTCACCATTTATCTCTATCCACCAAAAAATGTACAAATGAAATTGTGAGTAAGTTTCAATTACCGACACTTTTATAGCACCTAACCAAATCTTGGGAATCTAAAATGTCTAATATGAATTTATGAAGACTTAGTTTTGATTCTATGGATATGATTTTACTAGCCCTAAAACAGACCACCCGTCGTTACAAGGTATATCAATCACAATATATTTTTTTCCCAAAGAAAAATAGATAAAGGTTGGGTGTCGATATTTAAGTTAATTGTTTAAGTTGATCCAAAAGCAAACGATCCTCTAATTGATTAAGTCTTCCGCCAAATAGTAAGATCAACACCACTACTATGTTTTGGGTAGTTTTCCTTCTAATGTATCCTTTTATATTTATGCAGAATCAATATCCACAAAAATCTTTTAAAAAAAGAAAAGAAAAGAAGAAGACAAAAAGAAAGCATTTTTTTTAGAAAAAGACCAAAATAACCTTCAAATAGATCTGTATACTATATAGATTGTCTTATGTACAGGTGTAAGGGAAAAGACTGTTCCTAGAGTGATATGATAAGAGAATAACAGTCCAAAAAATAGCAAAATCATGACATGTTTCGCTCGGACCTTCATAAAATATAATATGGTTAATTAATGAACAATTTTAGTGATAATTTTAAGCTTTGAATAACCTTTTCTTTTGACGACAAATATGGATAAAATTTTCGAAATCGGGTATATAACTTGAATCTTCTAACACACACACACACACACACATATATATATATATATATGTGCTACCTTTTAGTCTTTGGTATTTATGGTTAAATAGGAACCAGAATTCTTTCAAAAATTAACTATAAGAACTTGTAGCTACATTATACTACTACTCCGAAGCAATCGAGTTTAGACTTTGGCCACTGTGGGAAATAATTAAAGAAGACTTCAAAAGCTAGTTGGTAAAAGGACTAATGCAAATTTTGTGGGAATCACCAATAATTACATGCTTTTATAACTCTAGAATTTCATAACATTTTTATGACCATAAGATTCAAAAGTGATTCTTTTTCTTCGTGTACAAGTCATACCTAAAGCTATGCCTCTTTTACATCTTTTATCTAAGGAGACACTATATTTGCACACATTGTCACGAAAGAGTAGTAAGTATAATGATGTTTTTCATTCCTACTGATTTAAAATCCTGAATTAGTAGATAAATACTTTTAAACCTTGATTATAAGTCCATTTTTGCTTTAGTTCATTACAAGTGAAACTATAGCGACCAAGGATAGTATGTATTACAAATCACATAATTTCATCACGGGGAAATGTGCATTTTTTACAATATTGATCCAGAAAACTTACACAACCCATAAAATTAAAATTTCGATTCCGCCTTTATTAGTCTAGAATCTAAATAGAGCATTGAATTGCAGGGATTCATCAATCATCAGATGATATGTTGTACGCTCAGAGCCATTTTTGAATATACATGCAAATTCTAACCAATTTATATATCCTTCAGTTATTTTTAAACCATCAAAGATGACATGAGTTTACCCTCAATTTTAGAAAGGTTAACTTATAAACATTTAACCCTCTCTATAACAACCTCGTTTGTTCCAATATTTTTTGGCTTTTATAATAAATGACTGTTATACACCTATAACAACATTTGATGTTTAAATATTTTTTGGCTGTTATAGATAAAAATCATTCAAAAATCAATTATTTTTCTTTTTTTAATGTTACATTTAAAAGATAAAAAAATTATTCAAATTTAAAATCTCAAAAGATATAAATATTGCACTAGTTAAATATTGAAGAAAGCTAATACATTGTTAATAAATTCATAACTAAAAGTATAAAAACTTAAACTCTAAGGCAGATATTTTAAAGCTACCTAAAAAATAAATTTTTTTCACGATTGATGAAAAAACTTTATAATTATAGCTTGTTTCGTAGATTTCATTCTCTTACTAGCGATATAACGCTTGAATTGACGAAAATTCATGTCCAAATTTTCAGCAAAAAAGTATCCTATAGTTTTTCCTTGAAGACGATCTAAGAGCTTATAACAGTTAAATTTTCTATCTAAATATTTTTTGGAATTTATCCAACGAAAAATATATCATATGCAAATCTTCAAATCTTATGCAAGATAGAAACTTTGTTTAATGAAAAAGATTGTGTGCATCAGTGGCGGATCTAGAAATTTAAGTTCGTGGATGCTTAGCTTTTTTAACATAAAGTTATTAGCAATCATATGACATAAATGCATAACTATTTGAACACGGTGATGAAAAAAGTTAACGAAAAAACTCATAGTATTAATATTATGGACGCCGTAAAACTGTGATGGATAACGTAGCTGACAAGAAAAGAGATTGATGATTTTGTCCCTTTGGGAGGAATTGCTCGTCTTCAGAAGGGCCGAACTTTGGAGTCCTTTTTCTTTTTCTTTCTTTATAGTGAGTTACATTTTGTAAAATAAGAAGAGATAAAACAAAGTCAGATTCGAACCCTCACCCATTCAATTTTTGTAAACTTCTAGCATCCTCCCTTAACCAAAGCACCCATTAAACTTTTTGTCTCATGGGTGCTTTAATTTCTGCTCTTTTATATTCATTTCCTCAAATTTTTTATACAATTATATATATTCGGAGCTGAGGTTAATGGGTGTTCGAGCACCCAAATTCAATGAGTAGATCCGTCCTTGGTATGCATATTTTTAGAATTATTATTAGTAATCTTAAATATTCTATATGGCTGTTATAGAGGGGTAATTTTACAAAGAGTGTTCTGCTATAAATATGGTTGTTGTTGTTATAGGTAAAAAATTATTATAGAGAGGTAAAATATAACTTTAAACATCCGCTAAAGCCCATGCACGGGATAAGGTTTGCAGATGCGATCATGAATCGAACCAGATCGAAACATTCAGCTATCGACGGACAAAGCCGCAACGTCGATCGCAAACAAAGGATGGCAAGGCCCCGGTTCCCAAATTGTCAATCCCTGGGCTTGGTCAAAGACATGAGAAGAGAGTTTCGAAGGTCATATCAGGTTGCCTTGGCTGGTAAAGCTTGTGTTCCAGGTCAATAAAGACTACAAATTAAACTAGTACTACTTGGCTTTTATAATGAATGATTATTATATAGAGATGTTGTTATAGAGAGGTTTGACTGTACATTGATAATGAAAAGAATGTTTACACTATTTTAGCATATTGTAACAAGTTATCTAAATTATCTTCCATGTTAATAATCCCTCTTATTATGAACGCTACAGTTACTTGTAATTAGTAGAAAATCTCAGGTCTTGGAATAAAGTTTTAGTAGAAACCAATACCTAGTAATCTGAAGTTACTCATGAACCACCCATAATGACAACAAAAACCCAGTGTAATCAAACAAGTGAGATATGAGGAGAGAGTAGTGCGTACGTAGACCTTACCCTTACCTTGTGAATATGGTAGTGAAGAAGCCATGAAAAAAGAAACCAATAACAATAGCAAGATAATAAGATTATCGAAACAAAAGAAACAACTGGTAGTAAAAGAAATCTAAGAATAAAAAAAATACGAGAATAATACTAATATTACTGGTATGCAAAAGAAATATGCTCGAGTACCTATTAATCTTCTACCCTAATTTTCGATTTCATATTTTTAAGTGTAGTGTCCTCGGTAAGTTGAATATATGACATGACTTGCGTAACCACCTCTTCCCAATACTTCTTCTGCCTACCCCTACCTGTTCTTATGCTCACCATTGCCACCATTACTCATGAACCTCCTCTTAAGACAAATTAAGCATCATCTCGGCTAGCTTTTCTTCAAGTGTAGATACATCCATGCATGAAACATCGGTGTCCTGCAAAGATCAATTGTAATCCAGGCGAAATATTAATTAATGAGATAAAGACAGCCACATACCTAAACCCTGGATTGAGTGAATTTCTATTTTTACTATACTAACTCGTTGTAACAAGTATTCTGCCTTATTTTCAGGTTACTAAATCTTACTTTTTTATGGATACTACCTATAGTTATCTTTTAAATGACATGATAGTTAATACAAGAATGAAACTTTTTGCCACCAATATTTTCGCTTGATAAATTTTGAATTTGGTCCATGCAACAAGAACTAATGTTGTTGTTAAGGGCTAAGTTAACACAACAAAACATGTTATATTAATCATGTCTTCTTGTTAAAAAGTCATGTAATTGTGGCTTATAAAAGCATTTTGCAAAAAATAAAATAAAATTGTATGTCATCTTTGTTTTTTTCAAAACAAATGAGCTCATTGCATAGTATATATATACCTCAACCTGAATTTTGTGGAGGGATGTTTCATCTACTGTAGTAGAAACACAAGTAACAACATTTAATTTTCTCTTCATGAGTTCTTCAAGCACTTTTGAAAGAGGAAGCCCTTCTTTTCCAAACTTGTTTTTGATCAAAATCTCCAGACCATCTTGACAAGAATTCACTGTCACATGCTCTTCTAAATTATATTTATGGATGCTTTCCTTATCCTCCCTGTTGGAATAATGGGCAAAAAGATTCAGCTTGTCTCTCTTTTTTTCAAAATCATTAATATTATTCTCAAGGTGTTGGATGTAATTCATAGCTTGTTCCAAATGATCTGATGCCGAAGGTTTTCCCTAATTAAATAAATAAATAAAAAAGGTTAGATCAACATATATAGCTAGGTTTTATGCAAGAAGTTATGCACAAGCGATATCGACATATTCTTATAATTCAGCTTGTAACTTTCTTTCTTGTACTGCACAAACGGTGTTGGTATAAAAAGGGTGGCCCGGTGCACAAGGTATTCCGCGTTCACGCAGAGTCTGGGGAAGGACCGCAACCCAAGTGATGTAGACAATCTAACCTAATGCAAGCATTAGTGACTGCTTCCACCAGTGGCGAAGCCAGTTATTTCATTTAGGGTGTTCAAACTTGAAATAAGTAAAAATAATTCCCGATAAAGAGTGTTCATTATATGTTATATACCATTAAAATCTAATATTTTATTTATATATACAGTGTAATTTTTCGACGAAGGGTGGTCAGTTGACCACCCTTAGGGGCTATGTACCTTCGCTCCTGTCTTCCACGGTTCGAACCCGTGACTTATAGGTAATACGAAAACAACTTTACAGTTGCTCTAAGGTTACCCGTCTCTATATTATTTTCTAGCAGTGTCGGATGACAGCCCATATAGTATATAAATTTTTAACACCATAAACTCTCTCTAGCAAGAGTGATAATTAAAGAGAAAATAGGGACTTAGATAATTACCTTGAGAAATTCAAGAGGAAGATGTGATCTAAGAGAAGCATAAAGATGAGCCATTTCTTGCCTCCTTTGTCTTTCAATATCTCTATGTGCAATTCTTTTTATGAGCTTGTTTTGATCCATGATCTCATTACTAGTACTGTCTTTTGAAACACTTGATAATAATCTTCTTGATCTTTTCTTTTTATTAGTATCATTTCTTGCCAAGGAATTAGTGTCAACCTTGACCAAATCTTGTTGGGGTATTTGACATGGAGTAGAGGGGATCTGAATCTCCTGATGATAAAGATCATAATCTTGGATTTCATGAAAAGAGAAGATTTCTGAGAGAGGATCCATATAGACTTTTTATTTTTCCTAATTTTCTTTATATAAAGCAAAAGATATGTTGGTTAGGGTTTGAGATCTTCAGTGGGGCTATATATATATATAGTAGTACTATTTTCCATAAACAAAGAAAAAAACAAATGATGTGATATGTAGTACTGGTCATTATTCTGTTCCAAGTTCACTTCAATATCGCAGTTCACACTTTGGAGGAGCAGTTTTCTTCTTTCAAATAATAAAAAATATTATTATTAGGGGAGAATGAACCCTCATAAAAAGGAGTTGCAAAATCCGAGGTTTATGAGTTCTTAAAGCGATTTTAAGTTAATGTACAATAATAAATTAGGTTCACAATTAAATATTTATAATTTTTATTAAATTTATCAATATAAATATAGAGTCGGAAAAGATATTAATGTGATTCATATAAGATTGATCTACCCCTGCCCATGAATAGGACGAAGGGGAAGAAATTAAGAGGATGATGCCTTTGGTAAGATTTGAACCCTATCCAAATTGATGCAACTTATTACTATAAACTTTTGATTTAGGTATTATTTACTAAGCTTTAATTTCTTTCGGTTCGCGTATTAAACTATACGTATGTAATTATGTATGTATATCTACTAGTATTGGAACAAGCGCGTTACGCATGTATCCTATATTAATTAGTAAATAATTTAATATATCACATAAATATTAATATAAAAAAATATTTAAGCTATAAATAAAAATAAAAAAATATAAAGGAAGAAACTTTGCTCCACAAAAGTCCTTAGATGCTTCATTTCTTGAATTTTTATTAAGGATAAACCTAGATTATTATGTCGATATTCCTTTATCTATCTTAGAATTTAGACAGATCTAATCAGTCTCGATATTGCATGTAGATAAACCAAAGCAGACTTTCATTTGCTATACACGAGGCGAAACTGCTACCTGGATTGTTATGATGACCCAAAATGTCATCTTTAAATTTAATAATTAATTCTGTGTTCTAAGACCTCGAAAAGTACTATTTATCATTCCTCGACTTGCGTGCGCAGTCCGTAAAATTTTTCGGAAAGTTTTCAGGTGAAAAATGGATTAAAATATGAATTAGAGGTTTAAAACTCAACTGAGTTGACTTTGGTCAATATTTTGAGCAAACGGACTCGTATCAGTGTTTTAACAGTTCTGGTAGGTCCGTATCGTAATTTGAGACTTGGGCGTATACCCGGCATCAAATTCTGAGGTTCCTAGCCCGTGATATAAAATTTTGATTAAAAATTAAAAGTTTAAGTTTAAATAGTGACCGGATGTCGAATTTTGTGCAAACGACCCCGGAATAGAATTTTGATGATTTTAACAGTTCCGTATAGTGATTTTGGACTTAGGAGCGTGATCGGAATTTTATTTGGAAGTCCGTAGTGAAATTAGGCTTGAAATGGCTAAAATAGGAGTTTAAAGTTTGGAAGTTTGACCGGGGAGTTGACTTTTTGATATCGGGGTCAAAATCCAATTCTGGAAATTTTCATAGCTCCGTTATGTCATTTATGACTTGCGTACAAAATTTGAGGTCAATCGGACTTGATTTGATAGGTTCCGGTGTTGTTTGTAGAAATTGAAAGTTTCAAAGTTCATTAGGCTTGAATCTATGTGTGATTCGTGATTTTAGCATTGTTTGATGTGATTTGAGGTTTCAAATAAGTCTGTATGATATTTTAGGACTTGTTGGTGTATTGGGTTGAGGTCCCGAGGGC